CCGGCGCGACGCATCAATTTTATCGAGAGAAGAAACTGGATCGTCCCTCGTTTTCTAAAGATAGCGCTAACGATAGCTTCCTTACGTTGCGTATGAGAAATTGATCGCTCGTGATTGCATCAAGTGGATCAGCCTGAGAATAGACTAACCTGGTCTCTCTTGGTCGCTCCTGCGGCGCGCGTTTCGGAGCTGTCGATGGGAACGACCCTGCCGACATGAATTTGCAGGTGCAAACGCGAACACGGCTTGGCGTGATTCGCGGCTCCTTCTTACCAATGACACGACCTCCATTCCGGCTGGTCGCTAAAGGCCGTCCCGTCGAATGCGACCGTTTCAAGATTTCAAATACGAGCCGGCCGTGTATCGCGGTGCTTTTAATTGAATCGCGATATCTCTCATCCTTTCTCTCTCTCTCTCTCTCTACGTGTGTGTTTTTTTCTCTCCCCGACACGGCTGGAGCAACTAACGAGGGGCCGCTCTCGCGGTTCCACGGCTGCTGGCGTCGCACGGTCGGAAAAATTGCAATTTATTCTCCTTTGGAATTAAAGCGTCCATTACAATGAAGCTTCGCATCCGCCAGCGCCGGGGCCGGTTACTCCCCTAACCATCGCCTACACCGTCGCCGGCACTCCGACCCCTTCCGCCGGAGCTTCCGTTACCACCTCGGTCGTTCTTTCCTCCGCGATAAAGTTGCGCTCCTGAAAGTGGACGTGGAGAAGCCGACGCCGGGCGCGATTTGTCAGCCGGGGATTATCCGTTTTCCGCGTTCCTTTAATGAGATAAACAACACCGGCGGAGAGACGGACGCTGCTCGCCCGCCCCCCTCCCCCCCCCGCCGTGCTGCGGGGCAAGAGTAATTTCCACGGCGACATGACAAGACACGGCGAGAGATTCGTTACCGCGCTTCCTCGCTTATTCACTCCCCTTGCGCCATGAGCGAACAAATGTATTCGCGCGGTACCAGCCGTGGTGTCATCGCGTGCGGACGTCGCCGATAGGGCTCACCGCGTCTCTCCTAATGACGCGCCATCCCCGAGGAGCTCTCCTCTCGAGCGCGACGCGTCCCCTCCCCACCGCGATACAAATCTCGTTTGAATCATCACGGATACGGATTAGCGATTTGCGTCTGGCCGCCGCCGCCGGCCGGCCGGCTGGCCGGAACAAAGTCGCGACTTTCAAACTCCTCGCTGATGCACCGCTGTGACGCGTCGCACCACGAGTCGTATACGGGATGGCGCAGCGATACGTATGCAAAGCGATCGCGTTTAACCAACTTCTCGCCGAGAATTTCCATTAGTTGGAGAGGGACGATACGCTGGAAACTCGCACGGGGACGGCGCGGCGCGGCGCGGCGCGGCGCCGAGCCGAGCGCTGCGGGCCGATGACGGGCGCGGGGCTTGCTGGCTTGTTTCGGAGATACCAAGCCGTCGAATGATTTCGAATCAACGCGTCTGGTAGCGCGTATAATTCAATTTGAATATGTATACGAGCCTGCGGCGCGGACAGGCCGCGCGCGCTCACATTGGCGTTCCCATCGGCGCGCTCGTAATTCCCCCCGCGCGCGCGCGCGAGAGTGCACACAACACAACAACACAAACACACACACACACACACACACACACGCAGCGAGCTACTTCTCGCGCGCTCTCGCTCGCCTGATATAGATATTACCGCCGCGAGTTTCAACCCTCTTCTCCACCCGCGCCCCGCCCCGCCCCGCCCCGCCTCGCCTCGTCACCGCAGCACGCGCGCGCGCGGCTTCGCGCTCTCGTCGCGTTTGCTTCCTTTTTCATTTATACACTTCTCGTCATCCAGCCGTCTCTCTCGCCGAGACGAGGCGAGAGCGCACCGTGACGTGCCGGAGGTGGCCGGAGGTGCGCGCGTTCCCGTCGACGATGGATCATCGGTTACCGAGCACGTTCGTCGAGATACTTTAATCTCTCTCTGGCGCTCGCGCTCGCGATAATACACGCGCCCCGCATCGCATCGACGATATTTCTATAACGCGCGCGCGGCGGCCCTCCCCGTTTTTATTTTCCCCCTTCCCTTGCGCCGCCCGGGCTCCGGGCCCCGGGGAGGCTCTCTCAGCTGGCGTCACGAGGGTTTTCTTTACGAGCGCTAGGATGCTGATGACGGCGCCGGCAGATGGGGGCGGAAAGACGCGCAACTCCCGTGTCGACCGATCAGCCCCGTCGTAAGAGCGTCTCTCTGCGAGGGGAGGGGCTGCTGCGGGCGGGTGGGCGAGAAGCGAGCGAGAATGTCGACGGGCCTGCGCTGAATTTATGCAGATGTATGCCGGCAATATTCTAAATAAGTAGGTAGTAGGTACACCCTGCGCGCGCCGGATCATCCGGCCGCAGAATCCGACCGACCGAGACGAGATCCTTCGCCACCTTCGGGCCATTGTAAAATCGCAGCGGCGGCGGCGCAATTAACGTTTCTTAGACGGGCTCGGCGTTTCTCCGAGTGTCCCGGCGACGACGATGCTTCTTGCGCCGTCCGGAGAGAACAATCGAAGTCCCAGCGGGGGGAGGGCAGAATCCTCCACTCTCGATTCGACGGACTTGAATATTCACGAGGCCTCGTCGAGGTCGTTCTTGAATTATCCAATCCTCCCGCCCCCCTCTCTCTCTCTCTCTCTCTCTCTCTCTCTTTCTCGTCGCGGGAGAGCAACGTGCTCTCCTATTTTCTTCTTGTTTTCTTTTTTCTTTTTAATACCTTTAAAATACCCATTGAGACGGGGCACGTTTACGTCGCTTGTTTATTTCTGGATACGGCGGAGAGTCGCGCGGCGCTTAATAAAGCTTTCGACCTCGATCAAAAGCGGCACTCGCGGCACGGTGCTGACCTAAGAATATGCAATTTCGCCGTTATTTCCCGAGATGCTGCTTGATTTATCGACACGTTCGAAATAACGTGTCCGTCACTCCCTGCGGCACACTTGACGATCGAGGCGACACGGATTTAACACACACACACACACACACACAGGGCCGGTTAGCGAGTCGACATTAACATTGACTCGGCCGGATTATTCGGTCGCAGAGAGCGCACTTCTCCGTCGCACTCTTTCCTCCGCGTCACGCTTGATCTTCCTCACGTCTTCCTCGGCACATTGTGTAACCTGTAAAATCGCTCGTCGAGCGAGCTCTTCGAAGAACGATCGTAATTTCCCGCATATTCGCGAAATTAGCGAGCACTCGAGCACTTTGGACTGTCTCGCTTGTTCGATTCACACGAGCCGCCGAGTCGAATAGCTCGACTCTCGTCTCGCCGGCGCGGCCCGGCGCGGCGTGGCGTTTCGTCAATCAATCGTTTATTTAGAAACTCGGAGACGGTGTACTTGACGGGATGATGAGGGCTCGAGGGGCACGGGGGATAACGCGCCGGCGAATTTCGACGGTCGAGTGCGCTCTCGGCGAGCGATGAGAGGGCAAGGGCGACTTTCAATTTACGCAAGAACCACCGCGTCACGTATGCGCATAGATTAGTAGGTCGCCTTGCGAGTCGAGGGCGACGTAGACGTAGCGCCCTAATCAGCACTTGGCGTTTTAACGCGGCTAATTGCGCTTCAATTAGCCAGGGCTCGTGCACCCCCGGCCCCTCCGCCGCCCTCTCGCCGCCCCCCGGAGGACTTTCTTGTTCCCCGCTGTCGCTCGCTCGCTCGCTCGCTCGCGCGCGCGAGCGAGCGAGCGGGGCAGAAACTTTCGCGATCGTCGAGCCGTAGCGTGCAATTAGGTGCAAAGTCCCGTGCATTAAGAAGACCGGCAAGAACCGTTAAAAGACATTGCCGGCAGAAGATTAGTCGACGATAACGTCGGAGTTACATTGCCGTTAAAGCGGCGCATTAGCGTAATGCGCGCGAGCGTATGTTATTTTTCCCCGCTAAAGACGTCGTGTCTCGCTCTCGCTCTCGCTCTCGCCTTCGCGCTTTTCTCGTTATGCGTGCGCGCGTCGTTGTTCGACTGGGCGGTGTGTTACTCCGGCTGGAACGCCGACGGGAACGAGAACGAGAGCGAACGAATGGACTGAGGTAGACGCGAAATTACAAAGTAATCGTCCCGTCGCACGCAACGTCCGAGCGAACGGGTGAGGAGGGAGGAAGGGCGGGATCGGAACGGGCGGCTTTCGAAATTCGCCTTCTCCGCGTCGGCCGCCGCCGCCGCCGCCGCCGCCGGCGGCGCAGCAGCGGCGGCGCGACTCGGGCCGCGAAATAAATCACGGAATCAATTCTGATGCATACCGGGTGGCGCCATAAATAAAAGTGCAGGCTGCCAGATACCGGCGCACCGCGCCGTAGATCGCGCGTGGCCACGTATATACGTGGCGTGGAGCGCAGGCCGGCGCGGCGCGGCCCCGCAGGCCGACGGAAACAAATGACAGCGCATAAGCGGCTGGAAACACTCGAAAGTCGGTTGTCGGCCGCGGCGGCCGACACGGTGGTCGCGCGGAATTTGAAATTCAAAGCGCTGGGAAAGTCGGCCGATAACACCGGGCCGCCACCGGGCGAGGCAGGCGGAAGAAGAGAAAGAGAGCGGACGAACCGTGCGGGGCCGGGCTGGCAAAAATACACATTAGCGGATTTGAAATTTAGATTACAGCGGACCTGCAAAATTGAGTAGTCCCGGCTCGAAAACAGGCCGATTTACGGGGGTGCGCACGGGCGACGTGGTCGCGCTTGTCTCGCGAGCGGGCGGACGCGTGCCTGCGAGAGCTCTCTCTCTCTCTCTCTCTCTCTCTCTCTTTCTCTCGCGCGCGCGCGATTCTGCCGAGGATCGATGTTACGTGCGCGCGAGGTCCACCACTTCTTCTGACCTCGTTCCGCGACCTGCACGGAGTGTATTTTTGCCAACGAGCCGCGTACGGCTCGCGTTTGTTACTTAGTTTACGTGTGCGCGAGCGCGAGCGCGAATGGCGGCCCAGATGTCAGCCGCGCGGATAACATCAGATGCCAGCCAGCGTCGCTCTCGCGCGCCGTTGGCGCTGCTGTTTGTACTTACTTGTCATGTACGTGATGTATTGCGAGTCGCTGATGTTTCCTGAAAGAAGCCCGTTCGGTCGAGTCGAGGTACGCAAGTCCCGGCGACACCTCGCGAGCCCAGACACGTCGACGCGCGCATCGCGTTAAGCGTTTCGCGTCAAAGTTCACGAACGCGTGTACGAACACCATGACGCTTCGCCGGCGTTCCCGATATATCGTTTCCCGTCGATATTTCCGCTATATATATATATATATATATATATATCGCTTCGTCGTACAGCCACAGCGCTACCTCGTTCCTCATTGCTTGATTTTCCGGCTAATTAGCGCGCGGCGAGCCGCGCGACGCGTTATTAGCCGCGGAAATGTTTGCGCAATAAGGCGCATCGCGTTAAAAGTCAAATATCTTTCATATCGCTCTCGCGTCTCTCCCGGTTAGGTCTCTCCCTACCACGAGCGGGGGTATCTGTATCCGAGCGAGTCGCGGCACAATGGAGTCGGAGTACTCGCGCTCTCGAGACCCCTCTCGAATTTCATCAGCATCCTCCGTCGACGTTTCGAAGCCACCAAGGCATGCCATCGACACGCGACTTGCATCCCCTGATAATACAGTCGCGCTCCCGGCAGTCGCTCGCGCCGATCTTCTCCGGCTTGGAATATTCGCGTGTGTGAAAGCATCGGGGCATGGTACGAACCCTTGGGAGCACGAGATGTGCGGGGGGGGGGGGTGTGCGGGGCTGACGGGACGGCAGGGCATTCGATGCTTTGCGAGCGACTTGGTCGGTGGCGGCGGCGGTCGTGAAAGCTCTCGGAAAAGCGTGAAAGCGCGAGCCACGTTTCGCATGCACTCCCGGCCGTGGAATATAACCATCGTCGATGACGACGATCGCGATATTTTTACGCGCGCGATATTTAGCATTCATTCTTGCCGCGCCCGGCGCTCTCCCCTCGCACCGGCGCGAATAAATGAATCGCTAATGTGCGCGCCGCCTTTGAAAATTCAAAATATCCACGCTTGCGAGAGATCGCGGCGGGATATCACCGCCGTGTCTCTCCCTCTCTCCCTCTCGCCGAAATTACGCGCGGAGAATCGCGCGTGCTGCTTTCTTAGCGTGATCCGAGCACTCGGCGATTCGGTATCCCAGCGAGAAGCACTCGGGGAATATTACCGGTCCGAGCAAACAAGCGCGCTGCTCATTGCCGCCGGGAAAGAGAGAGGAGAATCGCCTCGTTTCCGGTCCTCGCGCGTCTTTCATTATCTCCCCCACCCCCCCACCCCCGTCTTCGATCAGACACACCTCAGCGTTGCTGCGAGATTGATGCAACGACACACTCGGCGACGTCTAATGCAGTCTAGCGAACGACTCTGCGGTAATAACGGGAATGCGTTACTTGATGCGTGAAGCCTCCCGCGGAGACAAACAAGCGGATGCATGCCGAGAGATACGCAATCGCGCCGTCGCCATTTCGGCGCGCACGTTAGCCCTGACTGCTGTTATTCCCTCTTGTTTGCCGAACCCGACGACGACGACGACGACATGTCGCGTCGTTGAAGATTCTCTGAATAGAACGGAATATTAACTTGGTGCGATTGTGCGCGCGCGCGTGCATGAGGAAGTATCGGCACGCTGCGCTTCTGTAGCGCGAGACCCGGTGGATGTAAATTAACTTTGAGAAACAATCTTGTCGTTAACTCGGCGTATAATAACGCGGGCATAGTATCGCCTGCGCGCGCGCGCTCCTGTGCTCTATCGCGCCCTCGTCGCACCCTCGCCGCCGCCACCGCCGCCACCGCCGTCGCTGCCGCCGTCGGCCAGGATGCCTCGCGCTCCCGTTATCCTGTGTACACGCATACCGGCGGCACACGCAGCCCGCGATCACTCTCCATTGACGTTCGAAGCATCGGGCGGCGTGTTTTATCGTGTGCTTTATTCGCCACTCGCCGATACAACGCCATCCCCGCGTAATAATCCTCGACCATCCCTCTTCGGCCCGCCACTTAACCCCCCCTCCTCCCCTCCCCTCCCCTCCCCCGAGGTTTATATCCGGCGATTATTCATCCCCCTTCGCGACAGAAGCGCGCGAGCGCCACCCTTCCCCCCGGCCGCTTGTTCACCTCCGCAGGCGGTGCGTATTTTAGGCCAATTTTACGCAGTCGGGCTTTAACGGCGCTCATTAAATTTGCCGCTCTTAATAATCGAGGCTACGACGACTCGACGTTCCCGATAAGGTAGCGGCCATATCGTCCGTTTTATATTCGCGGGACGTAAATAAGTTTGCGCGAGGGGGCGGAATTATGCGCTCGAATATAACGTCGGTGTATCGGCGGCGGGCCCATAACTCGTATTGCGCGAGATTATTTCGCCGGTTATAAAAAGTTACGTGTCACGGCCTTACACACTCGCGCGCGCGCGCGCGCGACAGCCTGCGATGTGAGACACGAAATTCTGCCTCGCCGTGCGTAGCTGGCTGCTTTTTACGATGGGAATCGGGAGCGCCAAACCGAGCCCTTCAGCCCTCACCTCGGCTGTGTTTTAAGTAGCGGCAGTAAAAGGAAAATTGCATATATCACCATCACAATCGCGGCGCGTTCACTCGACGAGCTGAGGAGCGCCCGCGACAATTAAATCTCGAAGAAGTCTCGGAGGTCCGGCGTTTCTTTTTCTCGCGAAACGCCATTTTCTTAGCCGCGTGAGAGGTGACGCGCCATCGTAGGCACAGCCGCGATGGGACAAGTTTAGAACAGTCGTGGGTAACGTGGGCATTTTATAATTGCCTCGTCCACACCGCGAGCTAACATGAAATTAATGCCAGTCCTCGGCGCTCGTGACGAAGTTACCGCGCACGGTAACTTGCGAGCGCGATACGTCACGCCGCGCTGCCGGAGGAAATCCGCGCGGGCCGGCGTAATGCGAATCTATTACTCAACCGGCTGCGTCTCGCTACCGCTCGGCTGCCGCATTATCGAGCCACGTCGATGACAACGCGCTGCGCTGCGCTGTTTTCGCGACGCTCTCACGGGATGAGCGCATCCCTGCGAACGTCGCGGCGTTGGCTTTTCGGACTCTGCCCCGAGCGAAGCGCGAATCTCCGGACGATAACCAAGACGACGACAATTGGCCGTCCCGAACGAAACGGCGTACGAGCGCGTGTCGCGCTCGCTGAGAAACGGACATGTCTCGCTGCGGCGAGAACGAGCGCGACGGCGAAGCTGCTCGAGTCCGAGAGACCAGCGAGAGAAACGTTTCCGCGGCTGCTCTCTCGGCTCGATATTTAAATAGGTCCACCGTATCTGCGCCATTACTGTGGATGCATGTCCGCATCGTACTCGACGATCCGTATATAACTGACCTATATACGGCGGCGGCGGTCGTGGCGCAGCGATACGAATCGCGATCACGTGTGTATGCGCGCTCGCGATCGTATTTTCGTGCGAGCCCGGCATCATGCGAGTCCGCCGCTCGGCGCGGCGCGAATGACCGGCTCTCGCTCGCGAGAAACGCAAACACACGCGAGACTTTGTTTCAACAGCGCGCTCGCGCGTCGAAGCCGAGACGGCGATTAGCGCGCGATTTTAATAACGAGGCACGTCCGAGTGCCTCGTTATTAAAATCCACCGCCAACTCGGCCGCCGCCGAGCCAACGGGCGCATTCCACGACTGGGGATCGCGATTTTTATTATCACCCATTCCTCGCGCAATCCCTCGCGTCTTCCCTCTCATCGGCGGGCTGCCGGGCCATCAGACGGCGCGCCGTCGAATTCCCCCGGAAGCGCTCCGGCGTAAGCGCGACAGATAGCGCACGGGGGTGGAGCAGCTATCTCAATGGAAGAATACGTCTCTCGGCGTCGGCCGTCCCGACGCGACTCGATGCAGGCCGCCGAGGAGAATTCTTATGGCGCGCATCTGCGCCACTCGACACTCGCCAAGTCGCGCGGCTTATTGCGATATTATACGACGGCCGGCGTAATACGGACGGCGTAAGCGGGACGTGAATATCGCGTCGCTCCGATGCGAATACGTTTCCGTGGAGATTACATCGGCTGATAATTCGGCCGAAACAAGCGCGAGAAACACGCGCGAGTCGTGACGAAGGAGGTGTCGGAGCGCGGCCTCGGAAATGCAGTCGGAGGCAGCGCGCTTGGCGGGACGAGAGGCGGCGGTTGGATTAATTCGTCGGTGTCATCGACCGCTCGCTACGCGATTGAGCTTTTAATGACGTCGCCATTCTGATTTCGCGTGCGCAGTTTATAGGATCAGTTTCTCACGGGGCCGCTGATGTAGAATGCGCGGCGAGACCGCGAGCCGCGAACCGCGGCCGCGCGGATTCGCTTATTGCGTTCAACGCTTCTTAAACTACGCGGCAGTTCCGCGGTAGTTTAGCTATTCGGTAGCCTCAGGACGCCCGAGGGAGACCGACAATAAGACACTACCCCGCCCGCCGTTGTTGCGCAACGACAGACCAGTGTCTCGCGGGACGGCGCGCGCGTTGTAAAACCGTAAGGACGCGCTATCGCGCTATCGCGTTAATCGCGCAGGATCGCGAGTTACTCTGCGAGGCAACGACGACGATTCTAAACAACAGCTGCCGCGATACACGCATGTGCGAACGTGTTGCGATGAACGAGACGGGACATTGATCCGCGCGCAATATTCAGCGATGTGAAAAACGACATAATTAACTGGTGTAATTGCGGCATCCCCTCCCACCGTCCGCCAACTAGATTCGCGATTCTTTCAATTGCGCGCCGCGCAATCAAACGGCTAATGGCTAACTAATCACGGTTTAGCGACGCGGGTAATAATAATCGATGGCAGGAAAACCGGTTGGAATATAACTAATATATATATATATATATAATATATATATATATAATATATATAATATATATAATATATATATATAATTGTATGTTATCAGCGCGAAACTGGGTAACGAGGTATACGCGACGTCGTATTCGCTCCCCCTAATTTCATCGGCGATATTCAGATCTTCGCAAGTTCCTGAAATCCCATCTATCCATCCATCCTTCCTCCCCGTCCCCCTTTCTCTCTCTCT